CTTGTTTTCCAGAGTGCCATTGTATATGTCTGCTCCTCGACAATTGTGGTCTGAAGATAACATTAACAGTATACCAGCCCCACCATACCAGAAGCCGAGACGCTCCACAGAAAATTCACCGGAAGAAGCATTCAGATCCTCTGATCTAGTCCTGCCGAAGATTGACGACTTCCACCATTATGATGAATCAACTTCTGTTTGTTTACTGGGACGCACTGCCGTTGGCATCATGGAAGCCCCCGAGCCCCCGCCACAGTCGAGCCATTCCCGCCAGCGACCTGCAGCCGTCCCGGCCCTGTGTGTGGGGGTCTTCCAACCACTCGTTTACGGCAAGTATGAACTCGTCCATGTGAATTCAACTGTTGATCCGCCACTTCGTTTCAGTTCATCTTCGCTTATGGCCACCACTTCGAGCCTTTCTACGTCAGGTGATCTTTCGCTGCCTGATAGTTCACCGTTCTCTCGTGCGGATCCTGGACAAGTTATCATTGACACGGCTCGCACCGAACCCTCTAGCGGTTTACGTGTCTACTATCAGAACACCAGGGGGCTCATGACTAAATTGGACGATGTTTATCTGGCTGCGCTTGACGGGGAATATGACGTTTATGTATTCACGGAAACTTGGCTCGATAGGAGGATCAATTCAGTGCAACTGTTTGGTGACTCTTTTACTGTCTACAGATTAGACCGTAATTCATCCAACAGCATTCGTACTCGCGGTGGTGGTGTGCTCATCGCTGTTTCCAACGAATTCGCCTCCTGCGTAATCTCCAACGAACTATTTACTACAATTGAAGCGGTTTGGGTTAAGGTCAGCCTCACTTCGCGGGACATCCTCATTGGAGCGGTGTATATTCCCCCTGAACGTCGACATGACTGCACCACAATGCAGCTTCATCTGGATGCTACAGAATTTGCATCGTCCATGGCTGATATAACGGATGTGCTTCTTCTGCTTGGTGATTTTAATCAGCCTGGGCTTAGCTGGTCACCCTCAGGCCAGGGTTATGCGTTTCCAGATCCGATTGCATCTTCAACTACTCCTGCCAGCCGCTTGCTTGTTGACGGCACGGCTTTTCATGGACTGAGCCAGATAAACCTTGTTCCCAATTTCCAGTCTCGTTTTCTTGACTTGGTTTTTGTTAGCGAAAGTGCACTTCTGGACTGTGTCGTCGATGAAGCGCCTGATGTCATCGTTCCTCTTGACAATTTCCACCCTGCTTTGGATATATCTATCGCGAACGGATCTAAAATTCGTTTTGATGAAACCATGACTGCCACTCGGCTCAATTTCCGGAAGACCGATTTCCGTTTGCTGAGACGTTCCTTGTCCCGGATCAACTGGAACGTGTTGAATGACCTTGATATCGATACAGCAGCCGCTCGCTATAATAGCCTTTTGCGCGACTGTGTTTGTGCTTCAGTACCGAAGTGCCAACCTCCAAGAAAACCGCCTTGGTCTAACGCTACTCTCCGCAACCTGAAACGAGTGCGATCTAGAGCTCTCCGTGCTCTCACTCATCGACGATGTACCCTTACCAAGCAAAATTTTTCAATTGCCAGCAATGATTATCGCCACTACAACAAGCTTCTTTACAAGAGGTATGTAATTCGTACTCAACATAATCTGCAATGCCACCCCAAGGGATTCTGGTCGTTTGTGAATACTAAGAGGAAGGAAACTGGACTGCCGTCCAAAATGTTTCTCGGCAATGACGTAGCATTGACAACTGAGGACAAATGCAGCCTATTTGCTAGGCACTTCTTAAGCGTCTTCTCGAATGACTCCCCATCGCAAGCAGAAATTGAGCGAGCCGTCCGTGATGTGCCAACCGACGTCGTAAACATGGATGTTTTTGCCGTAGATGTACAAACGGTTCTCTCTGTGATGAGTAAAACCAAATCATCATTTTCACCAGGTCCGACTGTTATTCCATCTGCAGTCCTAAAAAAAATGCTCCGATATCTTAGCTGCTCCGTTGTCCTTGCTCTTCAACCTGTCACTTCGTCAACAGAAATTTCCCGCACTATGGAAACGGTCTACTATGTTCCCTGTTTTCAAGAAAGGAGACAAACGCAATGTGGAAAACTACCGTGGGATTACCTCGCTTGGGGTTGAATCTAAGGTGTTTGAGTCACTGATGAATGAGAGATTGTTTGCTTCCTGCAAGCATTACATAAGTACATGTCAACATGGTTTCTTTCCTGGCCGCTCCGTGGAAACTAATCTCGTCAGCTTTACGTCGTTCTGTATGGAAAATGTATGCAAGAAACTTCAAGTGGATGCCTCTACACTGATCTTAAAGCTGCGTTTGATAGAGTTGTGCACGACGTTCTGCTAGCAAAGCTTGAAAAAATTGGATGTTCTGTTTCCTTCTGCAGCTGGCTTAGATCGTACATCGTGCAACGTGAAGTTACTGTATGCATTGGAAACTACTCATCGTACTGTTTCTCGAACAGATCAGGAGTTCCACAGGGTAGCACTTTGGGACCAATGCTCTTCTCTTTATTTGTGAACGATGTAACGTTTATTCTACTACGAGGAGGTAAATTGTTTTTTGCCGATGACTTGAAGATTTATCTAGTCGTTCGAGGCTATGCCGACTGTTTAGAACTACAAAACCTTCTTTAAATTTTTAATGATTGGTGTGAAAGTAATTTTATGGTCCTGTGCGTCTCAAAGTGCTGCGTAATTAGTTTCCGTCGAACTAGGACTGCCATTTTGTTTGATTATAACGTTGCTGGAACTGCAGTTCAACGTGTCGATCACGTTAAAGACCTCGGTGTCATGTTGGATGAAAAGCTCACATACACTCGCCACTTCTCAACCACGATCGACAAAGCTAATCGACAGCTTGGATTCATGTTCAAGATATCTAAGGAATTTCGTGATCCTCTGTGTTTTAAAGCCCTTTACTGTTCATTGGTACGCTCACTACTGGAATTCGCGTGTGTTGTCTGGAATCCCTACCAAGCTGTATGGAGTGGACGATTCGAAGCTGTTCAACGCAAATTCGTCAGATACGCAATGCGCTATCTTCCATGGAGTGACCCGCTGAATTTACCACCGTATGCTGACCGCTGTCGTTTACTGGGTTTGGATACTCTTGTTAAGCGACGAAACATATCGCAGGTCGTCTTCGTTGCTAAAGTTTTACTCGCAGAATATGATGTTCCTGAGTTACTGGCCAAAATTAATCTGTATGCTCCTGCCCGAACACTCCGTCCGAGAACCTTGCTACATGAAGTAGTACATGCAACCAACTATGCTGCAAACAGTTCCTTTGTCGCCATGATTCATCAATTCAACGAAGCCTCTGACCTATTTGACTTTGACATCAATGCCTCGATGTTTCGTCATCGTTTGCTGTTGGCCAATTTTTAATTTTTAATGAGTGACTACATTTAGATTTAAGTGTTTCATTGAGACTATCAAGTCAGATGGACTATAATAATAATAAATAAATTATTTTAATAAATGAAGAATGAAAACAACATGAAAACTAAGTTTGATATTTTGATATAAGCGTTCGTGATAACACATTTTCCATACCGTGTGGTCGAGTTAACAGTAATCATAACAAAAATGAGATCTAAATGGTATATGAAGGATATTAAAAAGATAACAAATTATGTTTTCTTGATAACAAATCCATGTATGCGTTTTGATATTAGTAATTTCGTTAATAATAAACAAAATAAGTAATCAATATGTTATTATAACTATGGTAGGAAAACAAAAAAAAAAAAAACTAAATTAGTTATTATTTTGATATCATGATATCAAATTTAGTAATCTGAATGTTTTGAAATCTTTTGGTTGATATCAAGATTCAAAATCAAATAATGTTGTAAATAAAGTGCGAATGGTGCCATATTAAAGTACAGAACTGGAAATAATCATCCAGTGGTACACATTACAAGAAAGTATATAATGAATCGCTTTTGTCATTATAGACAAATAACAAAAGTTAAAATATGACGAACGATTGAAGTAATCCACTAGCATAATAGACGATGTGAACTTTTTAAGTTTAGAGTTTCGTTTTCATGACAAATTCTAGTGGAATTATATTCAATATAGGAATAGGACACACAAATTGTGTAAAAAAATAGTCTACGATGACTCTTATATCATTATGAATGATAAATTCCTTCGCATCGAACATATTTTAACAGACAATGACGATATTTATTTTATTGGGAGAGAACTGATGATTAATAAAATTTATGACAACATATTTAAATATGAGCTAAGAAACCGACTAAGTCTACGAAAGTTAAATTGCAATATTCGACTATGTATTAGTATAAGTATTACAGACAAACTGGACGCAATCAAATATATATCGATTTGTAAATTCAATTCACAGGCAGATTAATATCAATAAATGTTGTAAAACAACACTGTAAGAATCATAATTGTCTTTGTGATGTTCATAAAGAAACCTGATTGACAATATCAAAATATGAATTCAACCGAAATTTAAAAAAATAGCATATCAAAATATGTTGCCAACATGATTTCAAAAACCAAATGAGTATTTTGATATCCGACTTTGCTCGGGCTGCGAGGTTTTTTACTTCTTGCCCAGACTTCTGCATTTCGGTTTGGGCAACAGTGAGCGTACTTAATGACGCACTAAATCTCGACATCATCTGATCAGTCTTCTTCCGGCATTCCATGTTTACCTCACACTTTTCTTCAATCTTGTTGACAGAAACTTGCAGAGTTTTTATGGATTGGAGTAATTCATCCATTTTTTTTTTATTGTTCGTGTGCGTGGACTCAAGCGTGGACTCACATTGAGTTGAGTAGTAAAAACAGTTATTTTTCTGCACCTTATTGTAGCGTGCCTCAGACAAACCAGCATTTACAAACCAGAACATGTTCCGGCCATACACCTCCGGAAGTAGTTCGCAATTCCAAAAATATTCAAAAAGTTCTATGGGACCAATAATATATATATATATATAAATAATTGTTTCTTACTTACCGTATGCACAAAAAATATTTTAAAATTTTTAGCTTCTGCGCGCATTTTTTCGCTCCATGGAATTTCGCCTTTTTTAACCATCTGCACAGGATCAATGTATATTAGCTTAGGTCCAGTTGTGAGTAATAACATTCGCTTTCTTGGTACATATAGAGCTCCTTTCCTTTTATTTACTAATCCTTTCTTAAGAATCAATTCACCTTCAGCAAACGGATGCCACATATCCGATTGTTGTTCTTCTAGCAGTGAATGTTTTTCCTCATCACTAATGTAGATTTTCAAAGCTGCAAAAACAATCAAAATATTGAGTCTTAAACAGTTGAAATTTCATCAGAAAATAAATATATTATGCTGTAAAATACCACGATTTCACTCAGCTAAGTCCCTAATTTCGAGCAGTTTTGAAAAATCTCAAAATAATGTGAAATGTGTATATTTTAAATTGAGCTAAGTACGTAGATAGATCTTATTGACTGGTATATGGGAAAAATATCGACCAAAAATAAAAAAAGGTGGGTCAGCGTTTATAAACAGAACTTGTAATGTTATTTTTTCGCGAACCGAAACAGCACCGTCGGGTAGGGAAAATTATCTCCAATCCGATAGTGATGTTGGTTTGCGTCGTAGGTGCGCTTTGGTTTGCGAGGAACGGTTATTGCAAGTTTTGTTTATGCCCGGGCCAAATAAAGAGCACGCATTTTAGTTGCTCCTGAATCGACATGCTGACAGACCATGAAACCTTACATTGTGTAAACCACTTTTAAATACAGTATTAGCATAGGGATAACTCTAAGACTAGAAGGTCTCGAAGAAACGTGCTCAACTTTTTGGATCAGCTCTGATACTCTCTTCGGTACCAAGCTAATCGATGCACTCCTCAAAACATAGGAAAATCTACGAAACCCTCATTTTATCTGTCAAACTTTCATAGCGAATCAAAACAAACATAGTGTAGTACAAGCATTTCAACTAGAATGGGGTACGTTAATCGATGTACTTGAGACTGATAGGCTAGTCCAGTGTGAGCCAATTTAAAATTGTTAGTTTCCACCGGTTTAACATGCACCAAAACCGCTTAAGGAACGAACTCGAATCAGTAAAACCGTTTAGAGCTAAACATCTTGTGGGAACCGGAAGGAGAAATTTGCGATATAATAAAGAGAAAGCGTTTGTAACTTTTCAACGTGTTTATTTCTCTATTGACTAAAACTTAATGACTCCAAACAATATGGTCGCCTTTTTATCAAGGGTTGTATACAGTGTTAGCAGTGTGCACCACATAGTCCCCACTCCCAATTACACCAGGAACCAGACCCTGTGTCCTGATGGTGTAATTTTGGTCTTCGAAACTGGTAACGGATGCTCGCTAATACCTTGATCGCAAACGAAAGTCCTCTGTAAACCGCTTCACTACTTCAAATGGTCCTTCATACATGCAAGAAGGTGCAACACCTTCTTGACGGCATCGATCCTGACGAAAACGTGACAGCACTTGTTTAACACGGGGTTCACGAAAACGGCTGGTTTGGCATGGTGCGCTGCATCGACTGGTTTTAGATTGTTAAAGATGTTTCGCAATTGCTTGGTAAAATCTAGAAACTCCTCGGGAAGTCGTAACGCTTGACCATACAGCAATTCCGCAATTGAACAATCACAATCTGATCGAAGAGAAGTACGCAACCCTAATAAAATTTGTATGGTTATTTTGCTTAACGACGAGTTTGGGGTATCATCCAAACCATTTGTGGAAAAGTTCGACAATTTGGGTTATCGTTCGTTCATGGTATTTTTTTATTAGGGAACCCAAGCATTATCATCGGCAATTGAGTTCGATGAAATCGCTCTACTAGACCATTTTATTGTGGATAGTATGCCGTTGTTAGGATGTGTTTGGAATCCATCGCTTTAGCCAATTCACGAAACATTTCAGATTCGAATTGCCTTCCTTGATCCGTGGTGATTGTTTTTGGTACACCGAAACGAAAGCCAGGCAACCAGCGGCGTTTCCTTAACCTCACTCTACCTGTGCACCAACTCTCAAAACATAAACAATTTTCAAAATATTGCTTGCAATGGATAGATATTGAGTAAACTAGAAGATTAAATGTATTTTTCAACCGATTCGAGTATGAATATGGCATTAAATCTGGTATTGAAAGTTCGCCTCCGAGAAAAACGGTCGATGATGGTTAGCAGATAGCGGCTGCCATTTAATGGTATCCACTTAGATATTGTGGGACCGTTACAATATCTACGTGGATATGACGAAAACGGCTGTTTGGCAGAGGAATACTCTGAAGAGGAGCTACGGTGTGGCGATCTTGGAATCTTGGAACGTTGACATTGCAGACAGTTCTGCACGAGAAAGTTGACATCCTTGTTCATGTTTTTCTATACGAACCGATCCGCTACAAAGCAACGCGTATAACGCACTCCTGGGTGAGCCAGACTATGAAGATGTCGAAGAACCGCGTCACGATGCTGAGGTGGAACGCAACGATGCCATATATACAGACTTCTGTACACGAAAAAAGTGGTCACCCTTTTTTAATTGTATCCAAAAAACATCAAATGAAGTATTTCGTGAAGCTACAATGAATGCAATAACTAGTTAATGTTTGTAACTATTTTTATATTTATTGAGATTAGAAAAATCGTCATTATAATTAAAATTACAAGGGTTTAAAAAAGATAGTGTCCACTTTTATCGTGTACAAAAGTCTGTATATCTGGCATCGTTGGTGGAACGTATGATCTTACTTTGTTTTGACACATCACAATACAGGGGTCAAGATGCTTAAGGTGTATTCAGATCTAAGCGATATTTCACGCGCGGAACGAAATTTTGCGAAGGTACGAGAGGGAGAAAAGTACTAGTTGTCTCTCTCATTTCAACGCAAATTTTGCTCCGCTTCGCTAATGTACGCTCAGATATGAATACACCTTAAATCTGTTTGACGCAATTCCAGTTTCAACGCACTAGACGATACAAGCAGGCTTTTTAATTGGTTGTCAACAACTTGATCAGCCGCAATTTTGTCGTAGTCAATCGGTGTAGGAAGAGAAATCGGCTTCTGTCCTGGATAAAGTGTCTGCTACCACGTTGAATTGTCCGCTGATATGACGAATATCGTTTGTAAATTCCGAGATAAACCGTCGTATAAGTATCGCTCCTCGTGTGGAAGACGACTACTTGGACTTGAAGCCATAGCGTGAGTTAACGGCATATGATCGGTGTAAATTGCGAACCTCCTTCCTTCCAGAATATGACGAAAATATTGCACACACATCTTCATCGCTGTCAGCTTTCGACCCAACGTTGAATATTTCACCTGATCCGAGGAGAACTTTTCTTAATAGAAGCCCAGTGGCAATGACGTTTATATAAGGTCTGGACCAAATGGCTTATTGGTGTTAGTGAAATGTGCAAATGTTTAGTGGTGTTCGTATTTTATTGCAACGTTTATCTTTTTACACGAAACAGCTGTTGGCAGTGACGTATTTCTATCTGTTCTCAGTATGTTGGCAGTGATGTATTTCTATCTGTTCGCAGATATTCAGCAATGTTTACAACATTTTTGCCTAACACCAGCAAGCTGCCTGTTGGCCCAGACCTTATATAAATGTCATTAGCCCAGTGGAACCCAGTTGCTGCCATTGAACTGATAAAGCACAGCTATTGGATGCATCGATGAGCAAACTTAATGGTTTCGAAGAATCATGATAATGCAAAAGTGTGGTTTCCGCTAGAGATTTTTTGCATTGATCGAACGCTTTTCTGGCCTTATCGGTCCAAGTTATTTTCCGACAATCTTTCTTTTTATTTCCAGGAATCAGGTTTCGAAGATCTGCCTGTATATCGGAAGCGTGTGCTACAAACATTTTGTAACAGTTCAGTAAGGCAAGGAATCGTCTCAATTAAAAAAAAATCTAAAATTGATTATAATCCCTGCTAAACTTTAACTAAAATGGTTATGGAACTTTACATGAACGTTTGTGTGATAACGTTTTAACCTTATGTATTATGGTTTTTTGGAAATAAACCTTACAAATAATGGGTTGTTAAGAACCATTACCATTCAAAATAGTTGTTTTCTCCATACATTTTCGGAAAGAAAACTTTTTATTTATGGTTTGAGAATTTTAATTGTAATGGTTACACACTTAGAATTTTTTACATAAATCTGTAAAATTTTACCGAAATCTCAACAGCTGAACGTTCGGTAAACAGTTTCGCAGATTTCCTGTAATTTTTCACAAATATCTGTGAATTTTTCACAGATATCTGTAAATAATTACAGGAAAACTGTAAAATTGTTTACCGAACGTTCAGCTGTTTACAGTAAATTTTTACAGAAATCTGTAAAATAATCTTAGTGTGTATGGTAGTCAGTAAGGTGCATGGATGGTTTTGTAGCATCGATCAACTTTATGTGGAATATATCACGAATAGGTTGCCTGTAAAATTAGGATTACCAATTTGCGATATATTTCACGTAAGGTTAACCGACAATACAAAACCATCCATGGACCTTACTCATTACCATAAGCATTACAATTCAAATTCTTAAACCATAAGTAAAAAGGTTCTAAAATAGTTTTCTTTCCAAAAATGTATGGATAAAAGAACTATTTTGAATGGTAATGGTTCTTAACAACCCATTATTTGTAAGGTTCATTTCCAAAAAAAAAAAAACATAATATATAAGGTTGAAACTTTATCACAGAAACGTTAATGTAAAGTTCCATAACCATTTCAGTTAAAGTTTAGCAGGGACTGGAAACAGAATCATTAAAAACAGTCCGTTGAGTTCTGTCAGACAAATAGCTTTCAAATCATTTATATGCAGTACTCGTAATTCCAAAGCGCTTGATTGATCTTAACAATAAGGGCCTAGAAATTCAGTGCCAACATTTCAAAGGGGCGTAATTGCATTTGTAAACAATGGCTTTTGCTATCGATTTCTCGCTGTTTTATTTCGTCAGGTTCATCGACTAATTCAATGGATTGATTAATCAATGAAACACTGTAAACAAAATAATCATTAAACTTAGCTGCAATTACTTGTTCTGACTGTTCTAAAGGGTGATACGGTCAAAATTTGGTCAAGGGAAAACGCGTGTAAATCGGTGAAATCGTTTATTTAAAAAATCAAATTAAATTTCTTTTTCAAGTTCAATTAGTATAAAATTCAGGAAAAATATTCAGTTAGGCTTCCGCTTTTCCAAATCCGAATTGCCGGGCCTTACGCTTGACCCCTGCCATCAGATTTTGTACAGCCAC